CTCGCCGCTGCTGGGGCGCCGCGGGACCGCGCGCTGGAGGCGGAGGTGGCCCAGGCGCCAGATGCCGCGGTGGCGCTCGCCGGCCGCGTCTCGGAGCTCCCCGGGGTGAGCCCCGCTGCCTTGGCGGGCTCGGAGTGGCGCGAGGTAGGGCGCGGCCGCTGGCGACGCCGCGAGGCCACCCACTGCCTGGAGGCTGCAGCAGACTGCTGGGCGGTGTGCCGCGTGGCGATGGATGCGCGGCGCCACGGTCTGCATCACCTTGCGCTCGGGGATGACATGTCAGTTGCGTTAGCGCTTGCGAAAGGAAGAACTTCACAATCGTCTCCTCTTGACATGTCGGATTGTCTTTGCACTCAGTGGCGCGGCAGACATCAAAGTACACAGTCGTTGGATCCCGTCAGAGTGGAACCTCAGTGACGAGGCCTCTCGTCGGCATCAGCCGCTTGGGTTCAAGGGGAACATCGAGCGGCGAGGGGCCCCTGTGCCTGGCGGGGCGGTGCATGCCGAGGCGGATGCCGACGGGGCAGGCGCCTGCGCCGCCCGCCACCTGGAGTGGAGTTCAGGCCCAAGCCCGCCGCGAGGTCCTCGCGCTCTCGCTCGGCCAGGCGGTCAGCCCCTGCCCCCCGCCGCGCCGCTGCCTGGGCGCCGTCGCCGGGGCGCGCGCAGCCGCGCAGCTTGCGCGGGCCGCGCGCCGATCGCGTCGACATGGAGCTGCGGGCGCCGGCGGGGGCCGAGCGGCAGCAGCTCTGCCCCGGACTGACGCGCTTGGCGGCGGAGAAGGTGCGGGTGAAGACTCAGAGCGTGTACTTGGGGGTCTTGGCAGCCCTCCTGGCCCGGCCGCGCCCGGGCCCCCTCCCCGCCTGGACGCGCGCGGAGGAGTGGGGCGCGACAGCGGTCGAGTTCGTGGGGTGGCTCTTTGACTTGGGCGGCGCTGCTGCGACGGCCAAACGGAACGGTTGGGCTCGGCGCTCGCGTGGGGCGATCCGAAGCTCAGCGCGGGCCCCCTGCGTCTGTCGTTCCCCGTGCTGCAGCAGACGCTGAGGGGCTGGGTGGAGCAGCGTCCAGAGCTGTCGCGCCCGCCCTTGCCGTGGCTGGCGGCAGCTGCCGCGGCGCTCTGGCTGCTCGAGCAGGGGCTGGAGGTCGCCGCGCTTGGCGTGATGATCGTGGCCGAGACGTGCATGCGCCCTTCGGCGCTGCCGGCAATCGACGCCGACCATGTCGCGCTGCCGCTGGAGGGCGAGTCTGGAGCGGCATACTGGTTAACCTTCAGGGGCTGGTGCCAACCACGACCAACGCCTTCGACGTGGCCGCCCCGCTGGACTTGTTGAGGCAGCGCTGGCTTGCCCGCTGCGTGGAGGTGCTGGCGCGGCGCCGCGGCCAAGCGCCTGCTCGAGGTCGAGTACGTGGCCTTCCAGAAGAGCTCCAGGACAGCCTTGAACGCTGGTTGGGCTTCGGAGTTGCGGGCCACGCTCTACTGCCTCCGCCGTGGAGGCGCCAGCCACGACCGCGGCGTGGCCGCCAGAACCTTGGTGGACGTCCAACCGAGGGGCGGGTTGCGCGCCTTCAAAAGCGTCGCCCGATACGCGAAGCACGGGGGGATCGGCCTAGAGTTGCAGAAGTTTGGCGAGGCGCGAGTGCGCCAGTTGCGCCGGCGCGTGGCTGGCGTCGAGCGCGCTTGCGAGCGGTGCTTCGCGCAGCGCTGCAGGCCTCCTGCGGACGGCAGTCACAAGTGGTGATTGAGATATTCTCGGGAACTGGCGAGCTTAGCCGCCATCTCCGAGCCCGAGGTGTCCGCGATAGAATGGGCGGTCAGAAGTGGAGAATGCTTCAATCTTCTAGTTCCTGAAGTATGGCATGTGCTTCGTGGATGGATAACTAAGCAAAGAGTAAAGGCTGCATGGTTGAGGACCCCATGTGAATGCTATTCCAGAGCCCGCCGTGCCCCTTTAACACAGCTAGATGCCACGCGCAATCAGATCCCCGGAGTATGGCCCATGGGTCTGCCTGGGCTTTTTGAAAATGATCAGCGTTTTCTCTTAGATTCCGACCGTCTTGGGACTATTGGGGGGGGGGAATCTACAATCTGCGCATTGTTAGAGGGATCCCTGGAGGGGGCAAGACTCCTTGGCATAGTTTGTTGTGGCTGCGCCCCGACCGCCAAGCTTCTGTGGAATTCAGGATTTCTCATTAAGCGCGTTGTGGATTTCTGTGCCTGCGGTCGGCCTCTCCGGGGCCGCGTGCGCTTGAGATTGTGGCGTTGCAAACCTGATCCAACCATAGACGCGTTACGCTGCCAGGGGCGTGGCGTTCGCCAGTTCACCAACGGACCCCATGTCGAGCTCACTGGCAAACAGCAGGGCAAGTGTTTGACTAAGTTGAAGAATGCCGATCCCTCTCTTCTTTGTTACCTTGTTGCCTCCTCTCTCCACAATGCGTGTTCCCGTCAAATAACACGTACACGAGGGCTTCAATTTAAGTAGCGAGTGCAGTGCAATTCTTGCGTAACTGCTTGGCTAGGCGATGGAAGACTTTAAGATTTGGCCGAGGCCCCTTGTCAGCAGTTCCTTTGTGGATGTCCTGCGAGCCTCAAGCAAGCCAACTGATTAGCAACACCGCTCACAAACGTTCATGCGTACATCCATGCAGGCAAACATACATATGCACATATACACATCTACACACGTAAACACATGCATGATTACGTGCGTGCGTACATACGGACACACATTCCAACATGTATGCGTACATACATGCATGCATACCTGCATACATACGTACATCCATACATACATACATGCATATCGGACCACCGGCCGACCGACAGACGTACCTACCTACATACATGCATACAAACAAAACACAAACACATACATGCATGCATGCATGCATGCATACATTCGTACATATTCACATACAGACAGACAACCAGACAATCATACAGACAGACAGACAGACAGACAGGCAGACATACAAACACACATGTGCCCATATATATATAAGAAATATGTACGCACGTTTTGTGTATACATATATGCTTATATATAGATACAAGTGTTAGGCACATACATTCACTCATACACACAGTCGCACACATACACATAACGACGCACCGTGCCCCGGGGCCCGCAAATGTGTGGCCTGGGGCCCAGGCAGGACCTGGGACCGCCTTTGGGCCGCTCCAGATCGTCAGGGAAGGCAATCCGAGGGCCATCCAGGCGGCCCACGGCAGCTCGAAGCCACCCCCATGACGGCCCCACCCGGTCCGTCACGGGCATCACGAGCCTGTCGACGCCTCCAGGGACGCTCAGGACAGCCCCAGAAACTTCGTGGTGGCCCCATAATGCATCCGATAAGCTCAAAATCTTCAACAACTCACGGGAAATCGATGAGTTTGGCCTTCTCGCTAGTCCGCCTCGGTTGGGCTGCTCACGCCTCCCAAAGGCCACCAGGAGGCCAAAGGCGCCTTCAGAAAGGTTCCGATAGGCTCCAAGAAGCCCGAAGAAGCTCCCAAGAGCCCCCCGGACGCCCCAAGCGGCGTCCAAGAGGTCCCCAATAGGCTCGCACGAGGCCTCACAAACGCCTCCCCCGAGGCCCAAGAATCCCCAATGGGTTTCCAGGACGCCCCAAAAAGTCTCCAAGAGACCGCAAGTAACTTTAAGAGGTCCGACACAGTTCCCCAGAAAGCTCCCCAGAGCTACCCGAAAAGCCCCAAGAGCGTCCCAATATGGCCCCAGAGTCCGATAAGACCCTCCATGGGACCCCCAGAGCTGTTCAAGAGGCGCCAAAGTGTCGCAAGACGGCCCCAGAGGCGCCCAAGACGGCCCACACAGTCACCAGAGGGCCCCTGGAGGGAACCAAGATGGGGAATTCCAACTGGCATGTCGAGTTTCCGCCTCCACATAGCCCCCCAGGGCGCCTCGGATCTTCCAACGGGTCGCCCAGGAGCTCCAACAAGCCCCCAAAAGGCTTACAAAAGGCCCCAACAGGCTCCCTAAATGCTGCCAAGAGGCTTCCAGGACGCCTCACAATAGGCCCCCAGAAGCGTTTGAGACGCCTCGCGTCTACATCCTGCACGGCATTCTAGAGAAACCTCAAGAGGCCCCCAAGCCGCGATCCATCTCAGGGCTTGAAGAAGCCCCTGAGAAACACGCCGCACGGCCACGAGGGCACCAAAGACGCCCCGAACTCACGATCCAGGTCAGGGACTTGCCGACATGGGCAGGGCGGCGGGATGCGAACATTGGCTCTGGGACTGTCGGTGGAGCTTCCTGTGGGGTACGATCCGTGTGAGGAGACAGTCAACATACATAGGAGGACGTGATGCTATGTGACTCCTCCCACTGGGGTGAGTGGGCACGATCCGTGTGAAGGGTGTGCCGAGAAGGGGGGGAGGAACGCCATGCGATTTTGACCCTGGACCCGAACGTGGAGCTCACGAGGGGGCACGATCCGTGTGAGGACCGTGCCGAACTTGGCGGTGGGACGTGAGCCCTGCCTTCCTCTGGCCCCCTGTATGCCGCCGCCGGGGCACAACGGCAAATGGGTCCAACCCCTGGCCTCAGGGGCTTGGGGCCCGTTTTCGGCACCGAGCGCTCCAAGTGCAGCCACGATGGCTTCCAGATGACCCGATAGGTCTCCAAGACGGCCCGGGAGCGCCCCAAGATCGTTTCAAGACCGTTCGATCTAGCTTCAAGACCGCCCAGAGCTTCCCAGAAAGCGTAAGACTGCCCCAAGAGGCCTTTCGAGGTGGCCGCACGAGGCCGAATTCGCCCCACCCGTTTTGGGAAAACGTGCAAATTTTGTATGCCATGTATACATATGTAATAACATAAGAGGCCACCAACCATAATCAATCAAGAGATTCGCTCAAGTTCGTTGACATGCTGTTCGTGACGACGTGCAGTTTGAACCCGCATGGACGTGCTGACTTCCCGTAATGTCTCAATGCATGCCCAACTCAATTTCGGACACGTTTGTGTTTTGCATTGCCTCGTTGCAAGGAGCAGATCGAGACCGCGAATGCCAAGGCGCACACTATCTACGGCTCCATACAGGCCCCTCCGTCCCCTCCCCTCCCTATCATCACAACCGAGCAGCAGGAAGGACGAGGCAGGAGCAGCGCGGAGGGAGGCGGGAGGGTGAAGGGGGAGGAGGAGAGTACAGAACAGAGAAGGGATAGGAGGGAATTGAGAAAGAGCGCGAGAGAGAGAGAGAGAGAAACATACGTACTGAAGCAAACTATACACACACGCACATATATGTGTATATACAAGTGGCACGTGTGTGCCCAGGTTCATGCAAAAAATTGAAGGGGCGTTTGAAGCAGGAGTGAAATGCAACAGCGAAGTCGCACTCGAGCGCAAGTTGGGTTGCCACACCTTGCGATGTGTGTACCAGGGCCCCCCAGGAAGCCTCAGGAGGCCCGACTTGGATACCAGAAGAGGCTCCAGGAGGCCCCAGGATTGTTGGTGTTGTGTGTTTGTGTGATGTGTGCTCTGTGGTGTGCGTGCTTTTTGTGCGTTGCAGGTGTTGTGTGTGTGTTATGTTTGTCTAGCGTGTGATGTGTTGGGCGTGATTTGTATCTCTGTGTGTGTGCATTTAGTTATGAGGCCCCAGGAGGCCCCAGGCGGCCTCAGGAGGCCCCAGGAAACCCCAGGAGGCTTCAGGGGGCCCCAAGAGGCTCCAGGAAACCGCACGAGATCCCAGGAGACCCCAGGAGGTTTCAGGAGACCCCCAGGAGGCTCCGAGGCGGGGTCTGGGGTACCAGAAGGTTCAGAAAGCCCCAGGAGGCCCCAGGAGGTTCCAGGAGGCCCCCAGGAGGCTCCGAGGCGGGGTCTGGGGTACCAGAGGGTACGTCGGGGCTCGATTTTGGGAGGATGTTTCAGGCGAAACCGCCATTCTCTGAGAATCGGATGTGTTTTTGAAGGTTTTATGTTAACATGTTGAAATTCCCATGTGTTTTTGGACCCTGACGTCACGATCTGCGTGAGGGGTGCCACCGATTTTCAGAGTTTCGAGGATGTCCCTAGCGAAACGGCCAGAAAAATCGCGGACGCGGCGCCCCGCGTACGCATTAATCGCCTCTGAGCTCTACTCCCTCGGAGAGGTGCGTATGAGAATATATATATATATATATGTTTATATACACATATATATATATATACATATATATATACACACATATATTGCCCCCCCCCGCCCTGGGGCTTCGCCAACTCCGCTACCACTTCCGCCGAATCCCCGGTACCACCCTCCCGGGCGTCGAAGAGAGCCCGCGGAGAGCCTGAAGATTGCCCGGGACGCCCCTCTGAGAGCATTCAAGATCGCCCCAAGAAGTTTCCAAGCGTCCCCCAAGAGCTCTGGGAAAGCCCTCGAGACGCCAAAATCATTTCAAGACCAAAGGGAAATCAATGATTCCCTGTTTTGTCGCACTTCCGCCTCCGACACGCTTCTGCGGCGTCCCGACCGGCGCCAAGCGGTCCAGACCAGAATCACACACTCGTATTGAGAACTAGCCAGGTGTTACGGTTCACCGTACCCCATTCTCTGAAGCCCGCTTAGAGACGTAGGCCAGCAGATGCGCCTCCCTTCCGCTGGTTCCAGGCTCACACGCGTGTCATGTTCTCTGGGCTGGGGATCTTGCTATTCCGTCACCGACAGGCTGGAGTGCGATTATCATGTTGGCTCCACTTGCCGAGGCGGGCTTCGTTGGCCGCCCGACCGTTTTTGCGCCATCGCCGCCGTCGCCCTCAAAATCTTTCAGAACTGCCGATTTCCCGTCCAGAGGCTCAGGCAGAACCAAAAAGGCACTCGCGCCCTGATCCATCCGAGCTCAGCGATGACGAGTCGGTTGTTGCACAACCATCCCTAACACTACTAAGCCACCGTTCAGTTTGGAGTGCAATGCGCGCAGATAGCTAGCCGGTAAGACCAAGAGCGGAGCGCGCCGTTGCGCAATTTGCAGATTGCAAGGTTTTTGACACGGCCTCGGCGAGACCAGTGTGCGAAAACATTAACATATACATACATACATACATACATACATACATACATACATACATACATACATACATACATACATACATACATACATCTATATATACACATGTACATGAATATCCAAACACACACGTGGGTTGACATGGTCGAGGTCCGCGCGGTTTGTTGACGCGGTGTCGGCTGGGTTTGTAGACAGTGGTGGGTTAGCCAGCACTCTAAGACACGGTACCTCCTAGGGGCCAGATATTTTGCGGCGGGAGCGCAACCCTATCCAGCTGCACTTCGGAACGGTGGCCAACGCTTCGACGCCGCCCCGTGTTGGAAATGTTCACTGCCCAGAGCTGGAGGTGTTCGGGGAACGAACAATGGCATGAACATAAACACTCGGAGGTCTGCGCGGACTTCTCGGATCGGCGCTGGGCCCCTTCCCACGCTAGGCGCTAGGGGCGGCGCCAGAGGCGCCGCCAGGGGGCTGCAGCGCCGATCCGAGGACTCCACGCGGACCTCCGAGTGTTTTCGTATACAGTGGGGGCGCGCATCAAGAAACCATATGCTGTTCGTCAGGGTATCCTGGGTTTCTTCGCTCCGCGCGCTGCGCGGTGACTTCCCGCAGCCGTTGAAGAAGCTGCTGCGTTCAGGGTTTTCCGGGTGTCCCCTCGGGTGCACTTCGCGCCTGGGTTTTCAGGGTTGGGTTTCTTGCGAGGGTTTCTTGCGGCCGCGCGCGCATTGTATGCCATTGCTTGGTCCCCGAGGCGTCACCGCCGGATGGCGGGACACGCGGCCGGAACGGTTGGCCTGCCTGCACACAAAACCCGAGACGGGCGCGTAGCCCCGCGGGCACCGCCGGAGGCCAGAGGCGCGGCGCCCGACGTGCTTTTCCTCTCGGCATCGTTCGGACGTGTGCATTTTTCGGGCCGAAAGAAAGGGGGGGGGGGACAGGGAAGGGGGGGGGGGTACGAAATCTACTGCATGCAGCTGGTTTCGGCCCCGCCGCCGGGCCCATTCCTCGATACATGGGCGCCTCCCAGCGCAGGGAGGCGCTGGGAAAATCAGCTACGTGAGCTGATTCTCTACCCTGCCCTTTGCTATACCCCCTTTCGTTCCCCCCGAATTATGTCTTCGGCGAGGACAATCGAGGAGCATCCTGGGTCATCCTGCGAGAAAAAGCACGCACGAAATCGCAAAATGCACCGGCAATGGACGTCCGAGCGATGGCGAGTCTTGCGCTTTTTACAACATGGAACAGCTTCCAGTGGGCCAGTGGGGAGTGGTGGCGCGGGGTTGCGAATGGGTCCTTTGGAAACAGGGGCTGAAACTTGTACGCAATAGTTCGTGCACTCGTTCGTGCTGGATGCAGGCAGACTGCGTTGCATTCGGCATCGTTGGTCCGTGAGAGAGGCCACGCGCCATGAGCCACATGATGGCCTATTGCGTATTTGGTGTTTGCGATCCCGTCAGGAAAGACCGCCTTTGCCAGGAGCCAAGCTGGGACTCGGTTGCCATTTTGTAGTGTCAACGTGTCTGCCCGAATGTTCTGCCTCCCCAGTCCGCCTAGGACCAGCACGACTGGCTGAACCGCCGCCGACCCAGATGGTTCTTGAAGTGTTTGCGGGCGTTGGCCTTTCGCCCAGGTCTTGACAAAGCCAGACCCTCGCAGCTCACGGGCGGCCTCCTCTAATCCGCATGCAGACGTCGGATCTTGGTCGTCTTCCAATGCAGTTCGAGCCCCTGTGCTTCAGGGCGGCGGCCTCCCATGGTCGCCCCCTCGTTCTCAGAAGCCGCAACCCCCCCGCACATTTGTTGTTGGAATGTCCGTTCTGCTTCAGGACTCTCGGCGCGGTCGCTTTGGCGATTTGCCGCCCTCATCGGCAGCGGTCCTCGTGCGCCTCGCCGCAGTGCAGGTCCTTGTGTGCGCTCCTGCTGTAGCCGTGCACCTGTCTTGCTGGGCTTGTCTGCTGCGGGTTCTCGCGGCCGAGCCGACGGGTGCCATGCCGATCCTGGAATCGTGGCTTTTGCCGCCGTTCAGCAGCTGAGATTCTCGGGAGTCCAGCGTTTCCCAGCCTCCTTATTTGAATCATGGAGTGTCGTTTGGCCTTCTGCCGCAAGAAAAGAATAGGAAAATAGGCGGGGAGGGAAACGGAGGCACGTGGGAGAGAGAGGCGTTGAGGAAGCGGGCATGTGGAGGAGGAAGAGGAGGAAGAGGAGGAAGAGGAGGAGGAGGAGGAGGAGGAGGAGGAGGAGGAGGAGGAGGAGGAGGAGGAGGAGGAGGAGGAGGGGGGAGGGGGGGGGGGGAAGGATGGAGGAGCGGGATGAGCAGGAGGGATGCAGCATGCAGCCGGGAGAGTGGCGCGGAAGCGGAGGAGGAGGAGGGAGGAGGAGGAGGAGGAGGAGGAGGAGGAGGAGGAGGGGACGCTCGGTGCAAGGGCGCCGACCTGAGGCGGCCAGAGGACCGTCCTGTGGCTGAGCTGTGAGGCGACGTAAGGCTTAGCATCTGTATTTTTCTGCTGGGGGCGGCAAGGCCCGCCGTAGGTTACCCCATTCGGCTGCTCCCACGCGGGGAGACCAGGACAGCTGCGGAGGCGCGAGCGCAGGAGGAGGAGGAGGAGGAGGACAGGGAGCATGTCGCGGGTCGGGCAGCCCGTCGCACCCAGGCCGGCACCAGCTACCACGTGATCGAGGACGACATGAAGATGCACAAGAGGCTCGCACTTCCGGCCTCTGTCGCAGGCCTAAAGGTCGACACCAGCACCGAGTTCGGCGGTGTGCCTCCACCGAGGGGCAAAGATCCCGATCTCGGCGATGGTGGTAATATTCTGGCTTCCAAGGTGGCCGAAATATTACCACCGACGCCGAAATTCAGGATCATCTCCCTCCTGTGGAGGCAGCCCCCTGTGTTGGTGCTGGTGCCCATTTCCAGGCCTACAGCTCTGGCCCCAGAAGGAACGCCACTCTCCATCGCGGCTTCCTCATTTCAGGGGCAACGTCAGGGGGGGATGAGAAGGCTGAGAGGGGATGCGTCGACCCTTACTCGTCGACTGCGCCTGAGTGCCCCGCCCGCATAGGAACGTGCGGGTTGGTTTGCTGTCGGGGCCTATCGCCTATATGTCGCCGATGTATTGCCGATTCCAGGTCGATGTTTTCTTCCCCTGAGCCTCTCTTCCTTAACGTTCCCCCTCATTCCCGCCTCAGGTAACAAAAGTCGAGGAACAAGCAATGACATGGACATGGATTTTCGGAGGTCCGCGCAGATTGCTCAGATCGACCCTGAACAACCCTCCCTGGCGCGCGGAGTGCGCCAAAGGCGGCGCCAGAGGCGCCGCCTGGGGGGTCAGCGCAGAACCGAGAAATCCGCGCAGAACCCCGAAAGTGTATGTTCATTTCGTTACAGTCATCCCGCATAGTAATGATGAGCAACGTTCGAAGGTTACCGTTGCATCCTTCCCCGTCGGCCCATCCTTGGCCGATTTCGCTGGCCGCGCCCCGCTAGCAAAGTGTTGATGTGGCCTTCCACGGTACTGGCGCTGTTATCGTTAGACTTGTTTCCAAGGGCTGCCGTTCAATCGAGGCAGGTCTTTAGAACCCTGGTGGAAACTAATAATCAGTTCGACGCCCTTATGACAGACTTGGGTCCCACCAATCTTGGAAAATAATTGTTTCTCCGTGCGCTCGCCGCGCAACAACGACGACGACGACGACGACGACGACGACGACGACGACGACGACGACGACGACGACTACGAGGAGTAGGAGTAGCGGAAATCCTTCCCCGCCGAGAGAAACAGGGGGGGAATCCCCAAAGTTAAAGATTTTCTGAAGTCATTTGTCTCCCGACGAAGAGACGCCGCTCTCCTTCGGAGCTTCCTCCCGGCTCTTGTTGCTCCTGCTTCTTCTGGCCGGCGCTTCTGCCGCCGCTCCTCACGGGCCCCGCCGGTGCTGCTACTGCCAGGCCCCCACCTATGCTACGATTGAGGGGCAGGCGCAGGGTGGCAGCGGAGGGCGAGGGGGCGAAGCATACAAGCAACCCGTAGCATAAGGGCGCACGGGAGGGACGTAAGGGTCACCTAAGTTGTTCATCCGTATTATGCGGGCTGACCGTACTGCTTAATCCATATCTGCAGCAACACCTCACGCCACAGCGCGCTGCGTCGTGTGCACGGCACGGTGTGCTCAAGCAATCGAAGACACCAGCCCCGGTGGTGCAGGAAACTACGGGCAGGAAGTGAGATCACTCAGCCATTTGCCTAACATTCTCTTCCACAAGGGGGCGAACGCGGAGGGTCAAAAGAGGAAGGGTAAGTACCGATACCGCCAGCATCCCCTCGTGTTCACCCCTTTATCTTGGAGGGGCCACTTGGGAGGCCCTCATCGCCACCGTTGGATTCGCCTCGAAGTCCTGGTCAGACCGTACTCCAGGAGAGGTCCGGGGGGCTGCGGTGTTAGTATTCTTAGATTTCCCCAACGCAGAGGAGGAGGTGTGAGCACCGATGCAGCTAACTTTGCGTCGTTTTCGCGTGTGTTGGGGCCTGTTGGGAGGCCCTTGTTGCCGCCGTTGGAATCCTGGTAAGAACGCACCCCAGGAGAGTTGTGGGTAGTAGAGGTATCGGTATTCCTTGGTGTCCCCAAGAGGGGGGGCGAGGGAGGCGGAGAAGAATGCGAAGGATGAACATCGACCAGGAGGTGGAGGAGGATCATGGGCATGAGGACGTGATGCGCAAGACACGTGCGGCGAGGATGAGGAGAAGGAGGAGGAGGAGGAGGAGGAGGAGGAGGAGGAGGAGAAGGAGGAGAGGAGGCGGAGGAGGAGGAGGAGGAGGGTCACGGAGAGGACGAGGAGGACGAGGGCGAGGAGGACGAGGAGAAGACAGGAGGCGGTGGCGGAGGCACTCGGTGGATGTTGAGGCACGAGCCTCACGAGGCGAGGCGGATGCAGAGGGAAACGACTAGGGGGCGGGATGAGGGGGACGAGGGGATGAGGAGGGCCCTGGAGGATGAGCGTTGCAGGAGTAGTGCGCAGGAGGAGGTGGATGAAGAGCATGAGCAGAAGGAGGGGCAGTAGTCAGCTGATCAGCAGGGGGTGGCACACTTCTGGTCCTGGGCGCGGTCTCCGTGCTGCCCTGGAGGCTGTGCAGCAGGCCCAGTCGGCCTGCGCACAACAGGAGGAATCATACTGCCTTTTGAGGTTCCCTTGGCTCTTCGCCGCCGTCCTCGTTCCTATCGGATTGGGGGTGTTTTGTCGCCCGTCGGAATCGTTTGTTTCTTCATCCGTTGTCGTATTTACGCAGGCCTGCCTACGCCCGTTGGGCATCAATATGACAGACTGTGCGTGTTTTCTGCCCTGGGATTGGATGATTGTTTGACGGCCTATGGGTCCAGTTATTGCTCCTCAAAGCCGAACAATGACCCACACTTCAGGTTTTATACTTGCATATCAATCTAGACATATATACATATATATATATATATATGTACATAAAAAGAAAAAACTCATTGTTTCAGACGCAAAGGGGGCCTGGGTTTCTACCTCCCTCGCCCTCCTATCCCTCATCTACAGTCGAAACTGATGATACTGATGGGTAATATTTCAAAGGATACCCTTGCATCCTTGCCTCGGTCCATCCTCAAACCCCATTTCGATTACCAGCCCCGCTCGAGAAGCTTCGACGCGGGCGTTCAAGGGGCTTGCATCCTCATCGCGCATCCTCACTATCTGTTCGGATTTTATCCTTGTCTATCTTCCCTCCTCGCGTGCCCCAGGCTCGACAAGCTGACGAACGTGTCTCCGATCGACTTCATGGCCCCCGGGGTGCCAAGGACGATGATGCCGCCCACGAGCGTGCACGTCAACCTGCCGCGGCTCCGCCCGGGGAAAGCGGACCCCGTCCAGGTCTCCTTGCTCGTCAACGTGCCGCTTCCCGAGGACGATGTCCTCCTCGCCCCTGCCTTCGTGCTTCTCGTCGTCGTCGTCCTCCGCCTGCCCCCCCCCTCCTTGCGCTTCCTCTTCCTGCTCACCATCCCCCGTCGCTTCGCCCTGCTCATCCACCCTCTCCGACGACGTGTCCTCGTCACGTATCTACCTACATTTATACATTTGCGTATGTATGCATCTCTCTCTCTCTCTTTTTCTCGCCCTTCACTCCTCCCGCCGTCCTGCCCCTTCTCATCACACATTCCCTCATTCCCTCGCCCATCCACCGCATCCCGTCTCTTCTGTCATCCTCCACCTCTCCCATTCGACCCCCTCCTCCCCATCCCTCCTCCCACCACCCTCGTTGCTGCTGGCTTCCTGCGAACCCCGACGTCACGATGTTCTCATACTATGAGCCCGTCACCCACTTCGTCGTCGTTTTCGATGTCGACATTGCCACCGAAGCAGAGGAGGAAGGGATAGGAGGGGCAGAAGGGGGAGGGGGATGGGACGAGGGAGGAGGAGGATGATGCGGAGGAGGAGGATGATGCGGAGGAGGAGGAGGAGGAGGAGGAGGAGGAGGAGGAGGGAGCGAGGGGAGGGAGGGAGGGAGGGCAAGGACGACGATGATGGTGGTGGTGATGATGATTATGATGGTGATCCCGCAGGTCTGGACCCCTTCCTGGGACCAGCCTCTCATGCAGAGTAGTTGTCTGACCGTCTCTGGGCCTGGCACGTGCCCCAAAAGGCCAAGCACCGGGGGTGAGGGGAAGGTGTGTGGGCCCCCGCCAACTGGCGCTGCCACACTGTGGCCGGGAGGCAGTGTGCAGATGCAGACGTTGTCATATTCGTTTAGCGGCAGGCGCGCGTGGCCGAAGCGATTGGTGATTACCTGAACCTTGCAGCATTATTTAATTAAAGCATCTGTGCATGCTAGATATCAATGGCCGATGCCAGGGCCTCACCCAGCTGATCTTAGATCCTTACAGGTGGTCGGTCTGTCTGCCGGTCGATTGCAGAAGCAGGGTGTGAGCGATGTTCTGCTTAAGCGCGCTTTGCCATGCCAATTTTCAGCTGACGTCTCGCGTCCAGGGTCGAAGCCATCTGGAGGCGGTGAGACGTGCAGGGCGAAAAAAAAGGCCAAGCACCGGGGGCGGGCAGCACGGGGGGTGCTGGTTCGGCGGGGGTGGCGATCATACCAAAGGCAACCAAGATCTCATGGCCATGTCTTCTGTTGGGCGTTGCGCAGGGGGGGGGTCATAAATGGGGCGTGGCGAGGGTGGTCCGAAAAGGTACCCAGACGGTACCTAAACGAGCCCCCTGGGGCTCCGGAGGTGCACGAATGGGGACCGTTTCTGACCCCGCATTACGCCACGCCCAATTCTTCTTTGTAAACGTCCCTTGTTTCCCCCCCCTCGTCCAGGTCAACGCCTCCGGCCATGACTCGCGAACCCCGTCTTGGACGATCCCTCGTTGTTTATGGGTGTCCCTGGGCCCAGCCAGGCAGCAGCTGCCGTGATCTCTTGTGACGCGAGGGGGCCTGGGCTTTCCTCCGCCAACCCCGCCGACCTCCCTCCTTGCATGCTCGTTCGGGGGATCTGCCCGGGGCCCACCTGACGGATGTGTTCGATTCTTTTTCCATTCGGGTGCGACTCTAGCCCGACTCAAGTTCGACTCAAGTTCAACTCAGGTGTGGCTCAGGTCGGCAGACCAGGGGTGGACCTAAACGGTGTTTTCGCGATTTCGTGGGCCGTTTTCGTTTCGATTTCGTTTTGCGGTAAACGCGGATTGAAGACAGAACGAGAGACAACGAAAACAAACCGAAGACGGAAAACACCGTTTAGGTTCAGCCTTGCGGCAGACGTTTGTTGCACCATCGACGCATGAGTGGAGTGAGTGGCTCCAGGAAGGTCCCCAGGACGACCGCCGAGCCCTCGCGCCGCGGGGCGGAGGCAGCACGACAGGCCGCTGGAGATGAGGTCCGACTACCTGGAGCTGCCGAAGATCAGGTGGGCGGGCGGGTGGGTACGGTTGATGGGCGTGGTTTTCCACCACCACCATAAGTTGGATGGGGGGAAGGAGGGGAGGACGAGGAGGAGGACGTAGAGGAGGAGGAGGAGGAGGAGGAGGAGGAGGAGGAGGAGGAGGAGGAGGAGCCCCTCCCCCTCCAACGTATGGTGGTGGTGGTGGTGGTGGTGGTGGAAAACAAGCCCATTGTACGGTTGGACCAGAAACCAAACGACACCACCCCACAAACGACCCAGCGATGGCGAAAGTTTGGGCACTTACTCGCCTACGACCACCTACGACCCACTTGCGACCCAGCGGATCGTGCGGTGGCGTGGCGTCGATTCGTTCTTGGTCGAGCGGTGGCCTCCGACCAGGGGCCTCGCGCCCCTGGCGCGCTCCGCGTGCCAGGGAGGGGGCCCAAGGGCAGATCCAAGACATCCGATCAGAGTTCCGAACGTTTATGTGTACGCGGTGTGTGTGTTTCTTCCAGGGAGGAAGGGGGTGGAGGGGGCAATTACGCTCCAGGCCTCCCAGATGAGGCCCGAGCAGTTGGGCGTCGGAGGATCGCGCCGCATCGCCGATGCATCGGCGATGCGGCTCGATGCGGAGCCTGGTGTTCCCCACGCCGACGTCTCCGATGCATCGTAGACGCCGCCGATGCATCGCCGATACATCGACGATGTGTCGCGATCCCCTTGCGCCATCTACTCGGACCACATCTGGGAGGCCTCCAAATTATTAGGGGGCCCCCAGGCGGTGCTGTGACCAACTCGTGTGGTGAGTCAGTGGGGATTCGGGCTGGCCGCAAGGTCTTGGGAGTTGGGGTGGTTCTCCGAGGATGCCTCGGGCGATTGGGGCTTTCATGGTCCCAAAGCAGTACGGCGACGGACCGTGTGGCGATGTCGTTGGGGATTCTGAGGTCACCGCAAAGTACGTCGCCGCCCCGTTTTGGGACCCCCAATCTTCGTCCCAGGCGCAAGCAGCGGGGGGAGCCAATTACCCGGGTCACGTTGGAATCATGTATTCTTGGATCCGCACATTCCAAATCTATGTTAAGTGCAGTCCTACTGCGAGAGTCCAATGGCCGTCCTTCCTCCTGCTTGTTTGCTCGGCGGGCGGGCCGCAACCCAACCCACCACTTGCAACGCACCCCTACGTCATGTTTCGAACCACTTCTTCCGATCGACGTGTAACGGTTGGTCATGGAAGGAGCATGTTTCTTGCCTTTTGGGGACGCGGTGTTTATGCTTTCTAGCCATGTTCGCGCGATCCAATAAGCGCCCCCGTCAGCGCCCGCCCAATGTGCCCCCACGAGACCGAAGCACGAAGGCCCGGCGAAGCAACGAGTTCACGCTTCGCGTATCTCCGTCAGGCTGGTTTATTCAGGAGTGGTCCAGCCTTCTTGGTCTGCCATGTGTGATCGTTCCCGTTGGCCTGCAGCCTAGCACGTTGGACTGTTTATGCAGCCCCGCGCTTCGCTACGCTTGTGGCGCGTCGACCTCTGGCGCCTGGTGCGACAAGGCTCATTCATCCTCATCCCGGTGGCTCGCCTCTGGGTTCCCCGCACGCTGGCCGCCTGGCGTTCCTGGCAGCCTTCGTTGTCTGCCTGCAGCCCCCGGAGCCCCCCCAGCTTCCCTCGGCGGCAGCCGCGGCAGCCGTGAGCGTCCGCTGGGCAATTAGGCTTCGCCCGTAGCCCGGGGTTGACCCCTGACGCTGCGTGCGCCTTCGCGCGCGGCGGCGACGGAAAAAATATCCCCGTCAGGGGTACACATTGCACTGATCTGATTTATCGAGCTTTGTCCCGAGGCTTTTGCCAGCGGTGTTGGCTCGGCATGTGCGGACATGTGCGCGGCATGTGCCCCGCGTGTACGCATGTTATCCGAGCGGTCTTTCAGCAAACGACCGACAGCCCGTAGCCATTTTGGCTCAAGTTCGAAACCTTGCCGCGAGGCTTCGAGCTTGTCCGCAGCCGTGCGGCAGGCTTGAGAGGCTTTCGGCGCGTCTTTGCTTCCAGGGTGCCCTTCAGACGGCCTGCCCAGGCCAAGGGTTACCCTTTCCGTGAACGCCTCTGCGGAGGCAGACTACGAGCCCGCGAGGGCGCTCCGCATTCAGTGCCCAGGCGCATGGCACCATCCAATGGCGGGGGCGATGCTGGAGAAGTACTCCATGGACCCCGTCAACCGACATGGTCGTGTAACAATTGCGGACGGAACGCGAACTGGGCGTGTCGGACTATATGCAGGTGTGGCGTGTCTGCTCCTGCTAGCATCCACCGCCGTGCTAAGGAACGTGCTGCTGCTGCTGCACCGAATGGTCACCTGGGTCAAGGGCCTCCTCGCCGTTCTCGGGGCCCGCAGGGAGGTGATCCCATGCAGCGGCAGCTCGACGCGATGCAAAAGAGGATCGACAAGCTGCTGGCATCTTCGGGGCAACGGGGACCTCCAGATGCTTTTCCGTCACCTGACAAAGATAAGGATCCCGATCAAGATAAAGAGAGCAAGGAGGCTGATCAACTTCGAGAGCAGATCAAGCAGTTGGAGACTACTGTGGCCAATTGCAAAAAGCTGCCTGGTGAAGCTGGTAAAGATGCTGTGGAGGCCCTGCAACGCAGTCTTGGGGATGCAAGGAAAGCGTTGGCGGAGACGAAACCACAACTCACGCGTCACACCACGGTCGGGCACAGGCTTCAGAGGGCTTCTGCGAAGAAAGCCCAGCTGGAGCAAGTGGTGCAGGATCAGCTCGATGTTATACGCAGAGCACAAGAGAAGATCGACTCGTCCAATGCGCAGATCGCGTCTGCTGAGGAGGAGATTCGTGTACTGCATCAAGAGCTTCAAGATACTATGCCAAACCTTGTGGCGGCGACTTTCGAGCTGGACACAGAGTTTTTGGACAATCATCCCAGTAAAGATCCCTTCGTTGCTTTCATGGACTCGCAAGCCTTCAAGGACTTCGCACGTGTCCTCACAGAGAGCAACAACCACAAGCAGAAGAGAGCTGCAGCTGTCGCCAAGCCCCCATTCGAGAGGGGCGCCACTGGCGCTGGCGCTGGGTTTCCGACTGGCGCTGAGTCTACAGGCGACAGCAACAACGAGCCCGATGACATCGAGTTCGACTTCGAGATGGCAGACGAGATACTCGCCTCCAGCAACCTGGACCGCGAGGCCTTCTGTGCTAAGTTTAGACCTGTGCTCCGCAAGATTGGCAAGCAGAAGCGGCCAGGGTAGTCTCATGCCCCGCTGCTGTGGCTTGCCTCTGTCTAAATTCGGAGCGCCTGCACCTCCTCTACCTCCCCCCGCTTCCTCTCCCGACTCGACCTCCGAGATGCTCTTGAGTCGGGGCTTCTGCATTGAAACGTATAACGGCAACTCGTGGCCTACTCTACGTGAGCGTCTGTGTCACACAGAGTCGAGTATCCTGTTGGCGCAGGAGGTCGGGTTGGTGCAGGAGCGAGAGGGTGAAAAGGCGGCGGCGGTGGGGGCCCTCGGTTGGAAAATGCTTTCCTCCCCATCCCTCCCTGGCGAAGGTGGTCAGACGAGGGCGGGGGTGGCTGTGTTCGTTCGAAAGCATTTGGGTCTGAGGTGGCCCCAGGATGGCTCGGGCACGCTCTGGCCAGGACGATTGATCCATGTTGTTGTTGACATACCCTCTTGGCCGCCTCTCCAGGTGGTCTGCGGATATCTTAAGAGTGGAACTGGCTTGTGCCAGATGAATGTGTCGCTTCTTCGCCTGGTGGGGGAGAGGCTTGAACGAGAACACATGTTCGTTGTCGGTTGTGATTGGAACCTTGACCCTAGCTTGGTCGAGGCGTCGGGGGTGGTTCGTAGGACTGGAGGTGCCTTGATGGTACCAGACCAAAAGACCTGCCTCTCCCCCACCAGTTTGTCCAAGATTGATTATTTTCTTGCCAGCACTTGCTTCACTAGAGCTTGCAAGAGCATCGAGGCTGACGTGTCATGGACACACAGACCCCACCGACCCGTGTGCATTTCCTTGAAGGCTGATGCGGTCAAGTGTTCTCAGCTCATGTACCGAACCCACTCAAAGTTGCCCACTAGTTTACCCATAGGACCGACACCTCAACCTCAGGACTGGAGAATTCCGCGAGCAGTTGCCGAGGCAGCAGCTGATGCAGCCTTGTCCCAGCCAGTTGGATATGCGTGGGAGCTGCTCACGGAGGCGTGGCGCCATTTCGCTAACATGGTCGAGCTCGAGGCCTTCACTGGGGTTGAGGTCAAACAAAGGGGTTCAAAGGGGGCTTCCTGAAACCAAGATGGGTCCAGATTTTCGCCAAGCCAAGTTGTGTGGATGAGAGACAGCAGCACCACGGATGGATCTGGCTTGCGCAACAGCTTTCCGAGACGATTGGGGCCTCTGTGAGGCTCCAGAAGCTCCATGGTGACCCCGTTTTTCAGGACCATGCCCAAATCGATCAGCTAACTAGCGATGTGGAGCTCCAGGTCCAGCAGCTGCTCACCACACCCTGCCCAGGTGAAGGGCGCAGTATCCGTTTAGACGCTGCTCTAGTGCAGGCACGAGCCTTGGCACGCAGGTTTCCTTCGGCAGGTGAGCTGTCGGACTGGAGCGACGAGTGCCAGGAGTTTCTCTCTTCGTGGGATGACGATCTCGCGGCGGCCAAGCAGGCCATCGACAAACAAAAGAGGGATAGTTGGGATGAGTGGCAGGAGAAGGCGTTACACGGGGGGGCGAGGGCTATGCATCGATTGACCAAGTTAAAAGCGAAGTGGTCCCCGACGGTCTTTCAGACCCACCCAGGTTTCTTCTCCAATGATCCGCAGGCTCTTTTGGGACAGCAAGGCGATGAGCTTCCTGGTTTCTGGCACGCGTCTCACGAACCTCCTGAGGTTTGCGTGCCCGACAGAGAGCATCTGCCCCGACCCTCGGCGATCGAGCTTCGAAAAGCGTCGTCGAGTTTCTCTCACCTCACCTCCCAGAGCCTCGACGGTATACACCCTCGTCAGTTCAGTCTGGTTTCGGA